TATTCTTTTTGAAAATGCCAGTTTCTTTTCAACAGTTTCCAGATCTATTAAAGGTCTCTCAATTTTGTTTCCACTTCGGCACCCATCAATTTCTAGCACACTTCCATCAGTACTGATTAGTTCTTACAACTGATTTGGTGTAGCTGTGGATATGATGTATTCAATTGTTTTAGGCCAAGGTTTGGGTTGGTCAGGAAGAATTTTCCCTATACTTTGTCTTCTCATTCTGATTTCTCTAGATAGTGTATCTGCACCTGTACTTTTGCTTCTCGACTGGACATTTTTCTGTGGGTTTGCAAATTTTTTGGCTTGTGTCAATTTTATTCTTCTTTTCTGTTGCCAATCTCTGTGTTTTGATTTTTGTTTCATTTTCTCCATCTGTGTTTTTGTATTCAGGTTAAGCCTTTGTAATTAAGTTTTACATTGTTTTCTTTTCTTTGCTTTAGTATATTTGTCTAGTGTGTCCTTTAGGTGGATCATCTTTCAAATTTTTTTCTCAATTTTCTGCTCATCAAAGTTATAGTGGATGTTGACTTTGATGGTGTGTTTTGATCCCTTAGTCTGTCTGATTTTCTTCTCAAGTTAGTTCAGTTTCATCAACTATCTTTCCCATCTTTCATTCATTCAAAGGTTGGATCTGCAAGATGAACTCCAAATGTGTGAGACTTTAATAAAATAAAAATATTGAATCTGTGCAAAACTGCTTGTTATGGTAAATTCATGTCAGGAGTTCAACAAAATTAATTGTTTGTTATTACAGTTTTAATAATTTAATTAGTATTACATGAAACCATTATAAAACTTTTAAATTGAAATATGGTTATTTCCTAATCAAACGACAAAGTTTATGACAATAAGCTTCCTCTTCCTAAATTCTAAAATTATATAAAAAATCATTCAAATATAATTGCTTGTGACAAACAATAATTTTTGGATCGAAGTCCTGCTTTGAAATTCACCTTTAAGAATATATCATACATGTAGCCTAAATAGTAAGAACACATATTTGAAGGAAAATAAGGCATAAGGAGCTGAGATTATCTTACATTGTAAGTCCAAGAAAATAACAATTTAAAACTGTTGTACTCCTGACATCAAAGAAATGGTTCTAAAAAAAATCCTTGTCTATCATTGTCTATCAGGCTACTCTTTTGGTGCAATCTTGTATCTAGTATAGTATCTTTTGAAAAATAAAACAGAACAATATATTGGCTTTTGTATTTATTAAGTGTGGTTTTTTACTTCAAAGTTACACTCCTGACATTTAAAGGGAGGCCTTATTTACTTGACTATCACACATTTATATCAATAATCAGGTTAATAAAGTATTTATTCTGGAAAGGACATATCTTTTTTACAGGATTGACTTTTGTTTATGTTTAGGTGTGATTCATATATTCAAAAATCATTCTATTCCACAGCTGTACTAATTATTATGTTGCACTCCTGACAGGGCAATACTTTTTTCAAAACACATCTGTATCAAACTGTTTAATGGACAAACTTCATTTGTAGCTAAAATCATCACTAAGACATAATAGTTGTAATATAAATAAGAATCTATGGCACATATCATCATATTACAAGTTTCTGTGTCTTTATAAAAAAAGTATTTTTTCAAAATGTCACAAAAAAGTGTTGCACTCCTTACAATTTTTGCATCTTTTTTTATCGTCATTTTTTTAATACTTGAGATTTTCCAAAGATATTTTGCGGGATTATTCTACACATCAAACCACAAAATTCAGCCCATTTTAACATTGCAAAGACTGCCATTTAAAAAAATAGAAGCGAAATGTGATGAGATGTGAACTTATGTATACAAAAAGTGACATGTATAATATAGTTCAAAAATATTGTTTAAATGAATTAAAATGCTAAATCTAAAAGGTATATACACTTAATCTAGAAATCATGGGCTTTTTTGATGATGTATAACTGTTTTGATATGATATAAATTGAATGTCAGGAGTGCAACAAAATAGGAGAAATAAAGTTCCTTATATAGGTAATAATTTTAAAAAATAATAATAGTTCAGAAAAACTTTGAAGAATGCAGATCTCTTTTTAAGTTGTCAAACAACAATTCTTCTGAATATTTAATAGAATTTAGTTCATAGTTTGGTAACTTAACCTCATTTTTATAATAATGTGTCAGAAAAATCTATTTAAATATGATCTGAAGTGCATAAGATGCATAAGTTAAAATAGAAATAACATTTAAATGACAGATTTAGGTCTTTATAAACCAGCAATGATTACAAATTTTAAAAAATCATGAGTATTTTGTTCTAGTTTCTGAAATTTTTGTTTGGTGTATAATATGTCAGGAGTGCAACAAAAACAGGGGAAATTGGATGTATTTTCTTTTTGATATATCTTCTTTATTAAAAGATTTATCTATCAATTTTTTTTCCTCAGTGAATTTGAAAAAGGGTTAATTTTAATATGGAGAAGTTATTTTATCAACTAATTGATGAATTATTTTTTAATCAAAACTTTTTCAATCAACTTTAAATGAATTGATACAAAAAATAGTCAAAAACATAAAAAAAAAAAAGATAATCAAAGAGGAGATTAATAATCTATGCATCAAAAGTAATGTTTGGATCTCTGCAATCAATAGGGGTGAAAAAAATATAAATATTTGATAGTGTTTGTCTGAAATAATATTCCAAAAAGGTATACTTGATTTAAATTTGTTTTATTGGTTTATGTCATTTAAGTTTCAGAACTTTTTTATTTCTTTATACTTTTTTATATCCTTTTGGATTTATTAACTTAAATGTATATGTATCAAGATACAACAAATGAAAATGCACTAAAACAATGTTGAAATTTGGTAAAAAAAATTAAATTTGGACCATTTATTTTGACTTTGCCCACATTTGTTATTGTGGACTAAAAAGTCAAAGAACTGTGATAACATATGTATGTTACATGTTTCAAAGGGACAATATACATCATTAGTTTAGTTAAAATGTATACAAGTTGTATTCATATTACTATTGTCTTTATGTATACTTAACTATAGAAAGATATAACAGTTCATAGTTTGCCAATTATGCATAGTACACCTATGTTATTACAGAAAAATATGCCTGTAATAACTAAAGGGTGTTATCACAGCTACTCCAAAGCATTTGCTCAGACATACATCATGCTTAATTACAATGTATTTTAATTTATTGTAAGAAATAATGACCAGAGCATGTAATGAGGTTCTGCGCAAGCTTCCCAGTTATTCCCAAGTGTCTCATATAATAAGTTACATTCCTTTAATAACTAAGCCTTGTTATTACAGCTAAGTTTATTCCTAAAAGCCTTATCTCATTGATTTACCATGCTTAATCAAAAATGTATTAATTCAATTAAAAAATTAGTTATCAAGGCTATGCATTTAGTTTCTGCGCAAAGTCTCAAGAGTTCCCTAGAGCCCAGTATAGATTAAAATATTTTTGATTTATTTTACAAATAACAAACATATGTTATTACAGATTTAGAAAATTTAAGGAATAAAGAGTAGACAACTCATGAAAGTAAGTTATTTTCTGTAATAACCCTATAGAGTTATATCCTTGACTCTTGATATTTAAAGTCATTAAAATATTTCAGTGTTTTTAAACTATCATGACTATTGCCATCCACAAATATTTTAGTCAATGTTTTATAAAAAACAGGTACATGTACAATACTTCTTGTTTATGCTGCAAATCTTCCACAGGGATTCGTTGCTTCTGATTTAAATTTGATAGTGAGAAAAACAATCCCATTTTTAGGTCACATGGCCTAAAAGGCCAAGTTAGCTTTTCTCATCACTTGGCATCCGTCGTCTGTCTTCGTCTGTTAACTTTTACAAAAATCTTCTCTGAAACTACTGGGCCAAACTTGGCAACAATCATCATCTAGTTTAAAAATTTTGTCCGATATCCCCGCCTGCCAACCAAGATGGCCGACATGGCTAAAATAGAATATACATGTAGGAGTAAAATGTAAGTTTTGCCTATTATTTTGAAAACCGGTATAAATAGAGAAAATCTGACAGGGTAAAAAATGTTCAGAATGTTTAGCTCTACCTATTGTTCATTGACGTCAAAACTGTCAGACGACTTCTTATAGGAGTTATTGCCCTTAAATGATCATGATGATGAATTTTACCATTCTTTTTTTAATATTTGCCACAAATAAACCATAATGACCTAAATGTTCAGTCAACTCACTATTGGAGTTATTGCCCTTTAATTATAATTTTTAACATTTTTTTTTGCATGTTTTGCCTTTTATCTTGAAAACTATAATAGATAAATAAAGTGGCCATTGTTAAGGATGCAGGTGTGCGACACAGGCTCTTTGGAGCCTCTAGTTTTAAGTCCTAACAAAATGACCATAAATAGGGAGAGAAAATCATAGGAACCTTGTGACAGGAAATAAGTTTCACAATAACATTACAGCTGAATGGGGGACCCCTGGGGTCATCCTAAGATGAGCCAGACTTGATATTGGAATTGTTACAAATGACAATTAGGCGAGGGTTTAATATGTTGATTTAAGGATTTTTAATGTCTGTCAGTTTGAATTTTTTTTTAAATAAATATTTACAAGACAGAGACCTGATACATACAATTGTATGTATAGAATTACTGTACTTCAACATTATTTAGATATTATGTTCTCCTTTTTTGTCATCATTTCTAAAATTTTAGTGCCAAACAGTTTTTGCTCGACTGTTTTAAATAACAATTTGAATGAATGTCATTGAAATTTGTCAATAGGAGGGTATATGCATTATCAGACAGTGCATAAATGGTCATATTACAAGTTAGGTATTGTTGATCTTTACCTATTTTATTGCGATATTGGCAATGGAAAACAGCAAAATAGGATCTAGTAATAACTCATCATGCATGTCATGGTTAGCCAATTTTTTTTTTAAGAATTATTGCCATTTAAACATGTTAAAGGTTTTTTCATCAGTGTTCACTTTTAATTTTTTATTCCAGAGGCATCAGAAATGACCGGCAGTAATAACCTTATGATTCATTATGGGTTAGAGCATGCATACAGTAGGTTCTGTAAGAAGGAAGGAAAAGAAGAATTAAGTTCCTTCCTGCCACACCTTCCAGGGTATATAGATTCACCAGGCATACAGGATAGTAGGTTTGTACAGTCCTGTAGAGGCATTTAATGATAATAGTTGGATAGCTGATGTGTCAGACATCACATTTTAACGTGTATGACATTTAAAGTTTCACCTGGCATACAGTAGTAGGTTTGTACAGTCCTATTGAGGCATTTAAAGGGGCATTAGCAGTCAAATCCATGTTCACCGATTTGACTCAAATTCTCATTTTTTTTTTTTTATTTATAACATACTTTAACTTATATCCGATTACAATAAGTCTTAATTTAACAGTTAACAATGCATAGACTTGATAATATATATCAGCATTTTGGTGTATTTTAGTCTAAACACCACCTAATTAACCATCAAGATGACATCCGAAGACTGTCGACAGTCATATAACCCAATATAAACATAAATATAAATAGATAGCGACCTCGTGCAATTAGACTTTCTAGGTCTGTTTGATTTCATGTTATAGGTTAAAAAAAATAAGTTAATCATCGTTTTTACCTGTATAAGAACGATTTTTTGTGGATCAAATCATTCAACTCAATGGATCACCTTTGTTTCACTTTCAATGTTGACATTCTTTTCCTTTTAATGGCTGAACACAACTAATACATGCTTACAGTAGTTGTCGTCTGTTTATGTAGTTCATACGTGTTTCTAGTTTCTTGTTTTTATATAGATTTGACCGTTGGTTTTCCTGTTTGAATGGTTTTACACTAGTAATTTTTTGGGGCCCTTTATAGCTTGCTGTTCGGTGTGAGCCAATGCTCCATGTTGAAGGCCATACCTTGACCTATAATGGTTTACTTTTATAAATTGTTACTTGGATGGAGAGTTGTCTCATAGGCACTCATACCACATCTTCTTATATCTATTAACCAATCTCTAGCTAATGGGTTAAATTGAAGGTCACATGAATACTGATTCAATGAGGTTGAATTATTCACTTGCAAGTGGTACCAGCAAAAGTAAATGAATCCATAGTATCTATCTTATTTATTTTTTTATATAATTGTCATTACTTCTTTGATTGGTGATACATTTAAACTTCAACTGTAGGTCCCTTACATTTGTATACTGTTATCATGGTTATGTTTAGTTGGTGACAACTTTTTTATATTCATTTTCTGTTGCACACCTTGTTGCATTAGGTCCTTTTAAATTCTCAGAATTTTTTTACCATCAACATAATCAAACATAATTTAACTTGTTAGAATGAAAAAAAAAACTTATTTACGCCTGACCTCTGATTGTAGTTTCTTTGTTAAATTATAGTTCATAAAATACATTAACACATAATTAGCTTGGTTTTCCAATTGAGCATAATTTAGATTGCTGGAAATATCATACAACATTTATATTGATATCTGTTGGTGTAATGGCAGTTATGTATTTTCTTTTTTTTCCTTTAGCTCTCTTAGATCAGTAGCGGAGAATCCACCTAAAGCAAACAAAGATTTACAGCCTCTGTCTGGTGGTGCTCTATCAGGATTTAGACTACATCCAGGACCTGTAAGTACATGTATACTGTAAATTTAGTAATTAATGCATACATTTATCATTGTGAAAAACCACTAGCATGAAGGGCAAAAATGTGGCATCTAATTAATGTGATTGCAACAATATGAAGGAAAATCACTTCTGCTAGTTTTTATTAAAACAAACTTCATGAACTTGATGCTGTCAAATTTTTCGCATAAATTAAAAACATTGCAATAGTTTTTGCAATGCTTTTATGATTAGGACAATTGCATTCATCGTATGTATCAATTAATTTGGAAATGCAATCAACATTAGTCTGTCTTCATTATTTTTCCAATAAGCTATAAATATATCTATCCTAGTTGTTTAATACATGTATCTAACAAAGTGTGGTTTGCTTGTTTTTATATCGTCATCAGTCAAAACTAAATCATAAACATAAGAATTCCATTTTTTTTTACAGTTGGTCCGAGTACACAGTTATTTCGTAGTGCATTTCTTTTAGACAATAAATGAAAATTAAAAAAATCCCACTTGCGCTTTCTCAATAATATTTTTACAGTGTGTTGTACTACTTTTGGGACAAATTATATCAAAATTAGAGAAAACTTCATCGGCTCTAACTCAAAATATGGACAATTTTATGTTAAGGGGGTCTTCAAATCTTTTGACAGCTTCCGAAGTGCTAATTTTTAACATTTTTCAGCTGGACCAAATCACTACTTTACTTTAAAATTCATGACCCAAATTTTTTTAAAGTGTCATTTCACCCCCCTACTTGCTATTTGAGTCATAAAACATGGAGAAATAAATTTGGAAGGGGTATAAAAAAAATTGGCAAGTAACACACTGTCCACACTAGGGACTATATTCGTGGACAACGAAAATCAAAGGACGATAACTGTGTACTCTGACCAGTTTGCCGTTTTGACACGAAAAAAGATAACTATGCCTGACTATAATGCATAACTTTTTTTTAGAACAAACGAAAGTCAATGTTTGTCTCAATTTCATCCAAAATCATAAGAAAAATTCTACAACTTATATTTTCAAGATAGGAGTCTGAAAATTATAACAGTTAATGTTTTACCCGGGGAAACGTAACTTACTGGATTCAGTGGTAGAACCCATACATGCCATATATATGTTTTGAAAACAGGACACATTGAAATCTTATAATAGCATTAGATTGAAAACTTGCAGACCTTGACATTAAATAATAATGCTAGCAGGTGGGTATAGTAGTACTTTGTATATGAAATTAATTTTCTCTGTTCAATTCCAACAGTTTCCAATTTTTATTATCACAATAATAAGAACTCACATTTGATATCTGATACAGATATCTGTATGCAGATTTTCCTGAAATCACAATAATTAATCTCACATTTTTTGTCCATTCTTCAAAAATGGAGTTAATGGCAGCAATAATAAATGAACCAAATAATTTCCAATTTTACAGTATCATACTGTAACTCATTTGTTCTTCTTGTTATTGTAGATTCCAGATTAATACAGGTTCATGATTTAGACTCATCTGTTCCTTCTTATTATTGTAGATTCCGGAACAATACAGATTCATGATTTAGACTTGTGTGTTCCTTCTTGTTATTGTAGATTCCAGAACAATACAGATTCAAGATTTAGACTCATTTGTTCCTTCTTGTTATTGTAGATTCCAGAACAATACAGATTCATGATTTAGACTTGTGTGGTTCTTTTTTGTTATTGTAGATTCCAGAACAATACAGATTCAAGATTTAGACTCATTTGTTCCTTCTTGTTATTGTAGATTCCAGAACAGTACATATTCAACGATTTAGAGTCGTGTGTTCCTTCTTGTTATTGTAGATTGCAGAACAATATATATTCATCATTTAGAGTCGTGTGTTCCTTCATGTTATTGTAGATTCCAGAACAATTCAGATTCATGATTTAGAGTCGTGTGTTCCTTCTTGTTATTGTACATGTAGATTCCAGAACAAAAATACAGATTCATGATTTAGACTAATGTGTTCTTTCTTGTTATTGTAGATTCCAGAACAGTACAGATTCATGAGTCAGATGCCTAAAAAGAAACACAAACCGAAGAAAAGGAAAGAAGAGAGGTCTGGAGCTTTACAAGATTCACAAGGTATGAAAAGTTTTGTATCTGGTGACACTGCTTTATTATTGCATCATTGACAATCATAACACATCTCTTCATTATACCCACTCTAGCAGGCAACAGTCAATCAAAAGCTGTGGGGCTATATTGTAATCACCTTGTTTTTCCAATAGTTCGTTCCTCCATTATTCCAACAAATCATTTTGTCTGTTTTTCCAGGATCTGCTGAACTAATTAACTTCAGAAGTTTAACATCAATGAGTTGTAAAATGTAAACAACACTTTACAAATTTCATGTGTCCGAAGCACTTAGAAATACCTTCATCAGGAACACGCAAAGCGAAATATTTAAAATCAAAATATGTTTAAAAACAAAAACAGTTGAAGAGCTATATGACCAAAAGGATTGGTATTGTAACTAAAAAAAGTGAAATTGTTACCAGTCATCACGCTTAGCCACAGGCCTAGCAGCCCAAGGCTTGTAAAATTGCTTTCGCGTCTGTAAAAATCATCTCTACAGGCAAACAGAATCTAACTAAAATTTTCCAAAAATTGAGCTCCGGGCCTGTAGATTTAAATGTTTATCATGAAGACTGTGCAACCTGTGCACACTTTTTGATCTTTCATAAAGGTAATTAGTTTTTGACGATACATTGAACTTTTTAATATGAATGAGCTTAAAAATATTTGTCACACCTTTTTCCAGTACTACTGAACAAAATGACATTTATCTGCTTTGCAGCTCTTTTGTAGACAGAACCATATTTATTTTAATATTTTTCAGATAATTCTGTAGAAAGTAAGGATGATAAAGTGAAGAAGAAAGCCAAACAAGATGCTGAACAGAAGAAAGATAAAAAGAAAAAGAAAGACAAGAAGAAGAAAAAAAGGATGAAAGATAAAGATGATGGTATTTATCTGGAATTTACATGAATACTTATGAAGTATAATTAAACTTCCTGATTTTTCTGTTCTATAGATAGCAACTTTGGTTGCTTTGGTAAAATGAATTGATATCTCGAAGGATTGTTGAATTTTTAGTCTTAACTGTCTCTCCAGACATTTTCCATATCCAGAATTTCAGTCTATCTGGATTTTTTTCTGTGTTTGGTTTGGGTTTAGGAAAAGAGAGAGAAAAGATAGAAACTAAATAATTTGTCAAGAAAATTTACTTGCAGTTGACTATGTAGAATTTGATGTACAAAAAGATGGTTACATACTTCCTAATGGTCTCCTTAATATACATTAGAAAGTTGCAATGTTGGTTTAAAAACAAATTTGTTTAGGGCTGTTCCATTAAAACATAGATGGTACCCAGTGAAGGCACTTTAAAAAAGGGGCAAATTAAAATTTCGCTTACATTTCCACTATGCAAAAACATAGATGACACCCACCCCTAGTTGAGATTTGGAAGTGCCTTCCCTGGGTCCCATGTATGTTTTTATGGAACAGCCCTAAACAAATTAAACTTAACAGTTCAAAGGGACATAACCTTTGCTTAAAATTCTTAAAAAATGTGAAATGTACTATTAGAATTAAACCTTTCAATCATGTGTCAATATCTATTTTTTGATAATTTAAACATATTCACTCTGTCTAAAAATATTTGTCTTTTTTTAAATTTACAAAGTAGGAGTAAGGGGAATAATAAACAACTTTACTGAAATTTATTCTTATAATATTTTGTTATCTCAGGGCCTTTTTTGGCTCAATGCTCAGGCTGTAAGGAGACCTATAGATGTTAACATTCTTATAATTTGGTATCTGGTAGATAGTTTTCACATTGGCAAGCATTTAATTTCTCCTTATTCTTAAAGTACTTTTGAATGAAAACATTATCTAGATTAGAAGAATAGATAATCCTGTATATTAAAAATAAGGGATCAAATCAATGATATATTTTCACATGTCTTTTTATTCACCCACCGTATGAGCATGATGATGTTGTCTCTTGTTTGAATAATTTTTAAAACTATGAGATCACTGAGATGTGGATTTAAATATGTTAGCCAATTTATTTTATTTTTTGTCCCACATATTGAACCATAGTCATCAGTTCCTAAATTTTGACTGCGAAAAAGCTTAAGCCTATACATTAGAATTTAAATTCTCCTTTAGATGGTCTCTTTTGATGATGAAGAGAACATTCTGTAAACATTTCCAAATTTCTGTGAAGATTTGTGCAGAAGATTCTTTACAATCAAAAGATACCATTTTGAGCAAATTTTTTTTTTTTTTTTTTAATTATTTGTTACTTGCTATACTGATAACTGGACGTATTTATTGCAAATGAACAAAATTACACTTTTGCCATGACAGCAGCAGTTGCAGGCCTAGCAATAAATACAGTAAGGGGTAACCTTTTTTTGAATTGTTCATTATATAAGGCCTTATCTTCAATTGATACAGAGGAGCCTCGAGGTCGAATGGTCTAAATTGTTCAACTACTGATAACTAGCCTGTCAACACTGTGTTTTGAGTTTGAATCCCACACGTGGCAGATGTGTTTGACTCCAATCTCAATTGACTAGGATTGTCAATTTTCCTGCTGAAGGTCTGTGGTACTCTCCTGCCACTTAGGCTTCCTCCACCAATAAAAAGGGATCGCAAAGAAAAATAGCAAATAGTGCTGAAAGTGGCGTTAAACACCAATCAATTACTACCGATACACTTTCAGATTATTTATTGTACTTGACCTACTCACTGTTAATTACAGTAATATAATTTATCATTCTTGGCTTTACCCTTGATGTAGATCTCATACAGATTACATGTATTTATTGTACTTGACATACTCACTGTTTATTACAGTAAGAGAATTTATCATTCTTGGCTTTACCTATGATATAAGTCTCATACAGATTATTTATTGTACTTGACCTACTCACTGTAAATTACAGTAATATAATTTATCATTCTTGGCTTTACCCATGATATAGATCTCATACAGATTATTTTTTATAATTGACCTTATTTTTAGTTAATGGACTCACAGTAAGATTATTCATTTTGCTTTTTTTTACAGACTCTCAGTCTTGAAGGAAATGGTGGTGAAAATTATGGTGTTCTCTCATTCAGAAGGCAGCTAATGACATCATGGATATTTAAAGACAGCCATTGATGTATTATATATCATACTTATCATTTGATATTGGTAGACCTTCAGATATGTCTCAGGTCCTAGGTCAGATCATATTTTGTTCATTCCAAACAACTGAATAGGATTTATAAATGACATGGATTGTTTAAGGTGGAAAACATGTTGTTTTTGTTTATATTGCTATCAATGATTACAGTCAGAATTACCACCATCATCATGATCATATTGTATCTTGTAAATTTTGAAGCTGAAAATGTTGTTTTTGAATTTTAATTCACCCTACTTGAATTGTATTATAAGATAGAGGTTTTAAGATTAGATAACAACTATTTGTATAATTTTACCTTCTGTGGTGGCTTATACTTTTTTTAAGCAGCACTGTAGGAAAAATCACACTATCTCTGCATATTGTTTCTAATTAAAACTTTTATTTTGAAACTGGAAATTGATAAACATTTTCCTTGGTTTCATATAAACATGGTGGTCGGCATATACAAAATCCAATTTTACAATAATTGCTTACTTTTGTTATATTCAAATAGCTTATCTTCATCTCTGTTTAAGTCAAGTTTGTGGGGTTAAGTAGATGATTTAAATTTCAAATCGAGGATTCTGGTTTACAAAGCCAAATTTGTGACCAAAGGGAAGTAATTCAAAATTTGAATTGCAAATTCCAGATTCTTTCACAACCAATGTTGTAATATGAACACAACTTCAATGTTTTTTTTAATTTTCCACTGAGTAATGAACATTTTGAATAAATCTGACACCATGATTTTTGAAACAACAAGCATTTCAATTTTCTCTTGAGTTATTTTTCATAAGCCATAGATGATATGCCTAAGCGTCTTGGTGAATTTTAAAGTGCTAACACAAACAGATATAAAAAGCTATTTGATAACTTGTATCAATAAATTTAAAGGTATTACTTGAATTATGTGCTCCAGATGAACTTAAGTGCTTTACAAGAAGAAAAATAATGTTTTTATGTGTTATGTATATCAGCAATATACTTGTCACACAGTTTTATGGGTTTCTTTCTGTTGTCTTGCATTGTTTACTTATTTCATATTATTCTCATAGAGGAGTTCTTTTAGAACAGCAGGTAAAAATTTGTAACTGGCGTAGACTGTAGTAGTGGTTTTTGATGACACAGCTTTTAATAATGTAAGTTGTATATTTATAAGTCCAAATCACACAAGATGTACATAATTTAGATGGAATACTCAACAATAAATTCTATGATTATATTGAACTTTTTTGGTTGATTTGTATTTCTGAAATTTTTCAGTCATTTTAAATTAATCAGGATTAAGCACTAAATTTTTAGATACAAAATCAAAAGGACTTTCTGAATAATGATGTTTACTTATCAGTCGGAATTATTACTAGCTTTTGGTAAATAACAAAACTAGCAATATTGTCATAACCTCTACTCATTCATGTCATAATAACAAAAAATACTCTTATGATATCATTACTGAATTATTGCATGTTTTTGATGTAGTTCAGTGAAAAGAAGAGTGCCATTTAACACTTTCTTAAATGGAATACATTTAAGGAAAATTACTTTTTACAACTTGAGTCAACAGGAAGTTTTAAAAGCATTGTGAAATTAACTTTATTAAAGCAACTTATTAGCCATTTTTTGTCACAGACTTAAAGCAAACAAATTAAGTATTAAATTACCTTTTCTAGCAATTATATATTTTTCAGGGAATCCGCTGGCTTAGATTTAATACAATTAGTTAATTTGTTAAAATAATTAGGTATGATTATTTCCAATGACACATTAGCATGATTAAGGATTAAATTGTCCACACCTGTTGGGTATCCCTTTCGTCATGAATTGATATTAACATAATGAAACAAGATATACATTCGTAAGAATTTTTTATTTGACTCATTCACTGGCTGTATGAATTTTATTTAAAAGCTTGTTTTCCTGCAGAATGTGAAGAAAGTCGTTGATAGTGCAATTAATTTATTGTTTTTATTGTTGATTATATTGATGCTGTTCTATTCTTGTATTATAATTTAGATTGTTCCTTTAAACATACAAGGTAGGGGGAGGCTCATTTAGTTGCAGATAGTTATGGAGGGTTGTATTCTACGTTTTATCCATTATGAATATAGCCTGATATTTAAAATAACATGGTTCCCCTGGTTTATTTTTGTTGTGTTAAATTTGTATGCTTTCTTTTTTTAGAACAACTCTGGATCATGCTTTTATCTTTGCAAAGTATGAATCATTTTATAGAAAATTATGATCATCATTTCATAAATTACATTTTTTTCTGCTTCATTTTAGATTAAAATTTTAAATCAATTATAGAATCAATGTTTGATATTGATAAACATTCTTAAAAATATAAAAAAAGTAACAGAAAGGATAACAAAATGAAAAAATATTCACCAGCTTCAAAATGCTGATGGTTTTAAAAGGATTGAAAAAGAAGTTGTTAAATTTGTTGAACATGCATAGATAGATATAGAATACATGTACTGCAAATCTAAGCCAACTTGAAAATTGCGTGACAAAAGCCCATCACATGAAAAAAGTCAACAGCTATTATTTTCATATTCTAAGTGAATTTAAATATTCTGTATTTATGATGAGTATGTAAAGAGTCTACATAGTATTTTGATTGTTATTTTTGTTTTGTAAAAAGTGCTGTGTATTTTTTGTACATAATGGATTAAATGAATTACATAAATGAAAAATGAAAACAAAAACATTGTTATTTATGAGGCCACTTATCATGAAATAGGACATTGTTTTCTAACCTTGACACAGCCTCGTTGGTCTCGTTGTAGTGTGTTCACCATGAGTGCGGGAGGTCTTGGGTTCGAACCCCAGCTGGGTCAAACCAAAGACTTTAAAATTGGTATATGCTGCTTCTCCGCTAAGCATGTGGCATTTAGGAGTAAGAGCAAAGACTTGTCGGCTCGTAGTCAGAATAATGTGTCCGGGTAAGATGACATGTCTTTCTGTGGACTGTTACCTTGTGAACTAGCACATTAAAAATCCAGCTCAGTGTGTTGGTAAAGTACAAAGCAGGATTAATATTTATATTTCATCAACATGTTCTCGTCCTGAATATGCATATTAATTTGCCGCTCAACGTTAAGCAGCCATCCATCATCATCATCTTACCTTGACTAGAGTGATAGTACTAGTGAGTTAAACCCCAAACTGGTGTAGAAGTAATAGAATCATCAAGGTTTAACAACTTTCGTGAAAATTGCATTATTGCTTTGCAAATTAATTAATTGATCAATTTAGACAACTGTGGTTTACAGATGTTTAAATCTCCTAAATCAATTAAAAAGATACAAATCAAGGAAACAAACAAAAACTGAAGGAATGGCATGAGCTCCCGTTCTGTATACTCAGTACACTACACTACAATCTCCGTACAGCTCTTGTTTCTGTTCTGTATACTCAGTACACTACACTACAATTTCCGTACAGCACTTGTTTCTGTTCTGTATACTCAGTACACTACACTACAATCTCCGTACAGCGCTTGTTTCTGTTCTGTATACTCAGTACACTACACTACAATCTCCGTACAGCACTTGTTTCTGTTCTGTATACTCAGTACACTACACTACAATATCCGTACAGCACTTGTTTCTGATCTGTATACTCAGTACACTACACTACAATATCCGTACAGCCCTTGTTTCCATTCTGTATACTCAGTACACTACACTAAAATCTGTACAACGCTTGTTTCTGTTCCGTATACTCAGTACACTACACTACAATCTCTGTACAGCGCTCGATTCTGTTCCGTATACTCAGTACACTACACTACAATCTCTGTACAGCGCTCGTTTCTGTTCCGTACACTCGGTACACTACACTACAATATCTGTACAGCGCTCGTTTCTGTTCCGTATACTCAGTACACTACACTACAATCTCTGTACAGCGCTCGTTTCCGTTCCGTATACTCAGTACACTACACTACAATCTCCGTACAGAGCTCGTTTCCGTTCCGTATACTCAGTACACTACACTACAAAGACGTCATATTCGGTGTAGTGATACGAAGTAATTACGGAGCAGATGTAAGCTCTGTGCCAGCGATTGTCGCCTGCCCTGTTAATCCACACTCGGTCAAAATGTTAAATTGGTAAAATTACAGATCAGATGACCTATGTGGTATCTAATAATCTAGGAATGTGAAGACATGTTGTTAGCTAGTTGAGACACAAACACATACCGGTCAACCAATTTGTGATGGTGATCATAAAACTTTACTTATGTAGGGTTGGTTTTAGTCATCATCTTCATTATTTTGTTTATGCAGTTTATGTGAAAGGAGCACACCATTTCAGGTATTTAATGATTAGAATTGACTAGATTTTTGCAAAACAATAGAAGAAAGTGAAATAGCAAAAATACCAAACTCCAAGGAAAATTCAAAACGGAAAGTCCTTTAACAAATGGCAAAATCAAAATCTCAAACACATCAAACGAATAGAAAACAACTGTCATATTCCTGACTTGGTCCAGGCATTTCCTTATGTAGTAAATGGTGGATTAAACCTCGTTATATAGCTAGCTTAACCTCTCACTTGTATGACAGTCACATAAAATTCCATTATATTGAGAGTAATGTGTGAGCAAAATAAACAGACATAATAGGTAAAAATATAAAAAATTTGGGATACAGCAGTCAACATTGTGTTATAATCTTAATCACTATAAAACAAAAAACTAATTCAACAAAGAACAAGAATGTGTTCATAGTACACGGATGCCACACTCGCACTATCATTTTCTATGTTCAGTGGACCGTGAAATTGGGGTAAAAACTCTAATTTGGCATTAAAATTAGAAAGATAATATCATAGGGAGCATGTGTACTAAGTTTCAAGTTGATTGGACTTCAACTTAATCAAAAACTACATTGACCAAAAACTTTAACCTGAAGCGGGACAGACGGACGGACGGACGCACAGACCAGAAAACATAATGCCCCTACTACTATCGTAGATGGGGCATAAAAACAAAATGGCATATAAATATAAACACTCCATAGAAAAAGCATAAAAAAAAGAAAAGACAAGAATACAAAAAATGACGATAGCACAATAGGCCAAGTAAATTTAATTAGTAGATTTTCATCCAAATTTTTGAAAAAAAATGGGGTGGGTGGGAGGATTTTATTTTTTATTTTTTATTAGATATGAAACGCTCTTGTGACGTGTTCTTCATATATGCAAGTGTAATAATAAGGTTCTATCATGTATATACATGTATAACGAATCAAACATACAAAGAAATGCAAAAACCAAAATTTGAAACAGGATGTTATTAATGAAACGAAATTATCGGCAGTTACCGGTAACGAAAATGAACAAAATCCGGAAATCGTAAATTTTTCAAAATAAAAAAAATTGGGGCGGAACGATTTCAGAGGGGCGGGCGGGGATGAAAATCTATCAATTAATTTTAATTGGCCATAACACAAGGCCTAGGGCGGGATGTAAAAATACCGAGCCACGCAAAAAAGATATGACCAAAATTGGATTAAACAGTAAAGGTTAAAAGTATATATAGACAAATAAAAAGAACACTATAACACGTAGTATAGATCATAGTTTTTAACCACATTCTCATATTTATGCTTCTATTTTATAAGCCTATTAGAACCAAAATTGAAATAATTATAGAGTTTTACAGTGTTTTTGGATGACTGAAACAAGGCGTAACTGAGAATGTTTGTTTGGATTTTTAAAAAAAAGCTGCAAATATTATTACAAAAAATACTGTTAGCATTAACTGTTCATCTAAAAAATGGGATAAAAAAATTGAAAACCAGAAATTTTTATGTACACACATTCAGGATTTGTTGAGGGACTAATGTCATACATGAAGTTTGTGGTTCAGAATTCCCATGAAAATTTTGATGAATGGGTTACATGTAATGGCTGTTTAACGACAAATATTATATGCATATTCGGGGTGAGAATTTGTTAATGTAATATGACACTGAACCCTGCGTTGTAAAAAACCAACACCCTTAGCTGTATGTTAAATATTTTTCTAGGACTAGTTCATATTGTTATAGTCTCTCAGGAAGAAATGTAATTCTACACAGACACATTAAGTCGCTGGTTCCATTACTTGTAATGCCTTTTAGTTAGTTCCTTTGAGATTCAACATTGCAACACTGTGTCTTCCCGTTTTTCCCCATGGGACAGTCTTCCCAGTCAATGAAGCAACTCCGTCTAGTCAGACTTTGAGCGCACTAGTCTTTTGATCTTGTTCCAAAAAACTGCATACCTAAGCTTAAGGAAGATGCAGCAAAAACGAATGTTCAAGTCTTCGGTTTGAAAAGACCATGAATAGAACGAGATCGTCCAAACTGTTATGTGTATTTAAATATATCTGACCAAACATGACTATTTCACATAATGGATTTGATAAAGCTAAATATGATGAACTGCGTTTGTTTCGCAGTTCATCATACTTCATTTAAATTTTAACAAAATATCTATTTGAATAAGGCGATTCCTCATATCTTCATATGAATATCAAGTCTGTCAGTCTTATGATTTGCAAACATCCTCATGGCACAATTCTGAAAGTGACAAACCAAACAAAAAAAACAAAAAAAACCAAAAAAAAACCCTGATCTTTTGTAGTCTAATAGTAAATCACTGTCCTCTTTCACTTTCTTTTTTTCATTTGCAATAAAACAAATTTTGCCAAAAGGTGTGTGAGTGGAGGGTGTGGGGTGGGGCACATTGTTTGTAAGCATATTATAGGAGTCATCTTTTCGTATTTATCCTAATATTTTATAGGTTAATTAACCTTCAAACACGCCAAATCGTTTTTTCCATGTATAATCTATACAAAATCTGGCAATTTTATTACAACCTTTAGCATTTTGGCAAATTGTTATCCCCCTCTACCATAATTGAAGTGATAAGATGTTACTTTGGATTAAATTTATCCGTAATATAGCTTTTACGAAAATTAATAAGAATAAGTTGTGAAGTTGATATAACTTGCAAAAATTGATTTTCTGTAACAAAATTC